AAAACTTTTCGAACGCAAAGCTAATTAAACTACGGGCATCCTGTTTATTTTCTATTTTTTTTTGAGCTTTACTAAAAGGGTTACGCGCTTACTGGCTTGTGTGGTTGCCTATGATTCCTTTTACCCAACTTGCTTCTAACAGCCTGAAAGCGCACCACCTAGCTATTGCAACGTTTGCACATGCGTAAACGTTTAACCGCTGTGTTCATTATATAGGGGGGTACTTTTGACCTATTTCAAACGGCTTCAAAAAAAAAACTATTTCTGTAAATGGTTTCAGCAGGGAATAATCATAAAAAGGACTGTCGTCATTTGCAATGAGTGACTTTGGGGCAATCTAGAGCGGAATGTCAACTTTTGACTCAAGTGACCATTTGCGCTCTGGCTTTTGAAAAGTCAGTCATTGTAAATGACAACCACAATCTTTATCCAAGACATGTCAATTTCTCTCTAATAAAACATTCACTCTGCATGATTTGTGCCCTTACCTCCTCAAATAGCCTGATGTCGTAAGTGTTATCATCATCAGCGAAGTAGACCACACCGTTAGTTTTATTGATGTTTATGTTATCACGTAACCATTTAATTGCTATGTTCCTTTGTTCTACTCCTCTGGCCTTAGTCCATCGTGGTTTATTTTTTAATGGGCGCAACTCTACCGGGGTTCGTATATTTAGATGAGTGTAATTAAGACCAGAATTAGCTAAAAATCTTGTGACGAGGGGTGTCTTTTGATATGAGTCCTCTACAACTATCCAGTGAAAATCTTTGACGTGTTTTAAAGTTTGTGACAGGCGAGTCAGTTCAGCTTTTTGAAGGAAACGTGCATACGTTGGTGTTACGGCGTAAACGATTGTCTTCAGGGATAATTTCTTAACAATTTTCTTTTCTCCGGTTTTAGGCTGCTCGACAGTTATTTCTAATTTTGCTTGAGCTGTATTTTTAAGAGGCGAAGATGGTGAATCTGTGTTTGTTAGATCTCTCCTCACCAGTTGGTCATCGTTCTCGTTGGTTTTAGGAGCTGAAAGGTAAATGGAAATGTCCTAAGGCCGAGCGCACAATTTTTCACGTCACTAATTAGCCTTATTTCTATGGGGATAACAAACCCTTTTAAACGGTTCCACACTTTTTCCTTGTTCCACAAAGAAGCTTTAGGTTCCTCAAGAATGGCCTCTTTTGAAATCAGTCATTACCGCTGTGCAGGCCCTCCCCTTCTCCCCAGGATATTTCAATCGAGTTCACATCGGCAATGAACGGGTTATTACAACAACATGAATAAGAACAAAACAGAGAAATCAAGCACTGTTGCTGTTGTTGTTGTGATGAAATAAAGAGCAAAGGTTTGTAAGTATCTGCAAAATGACACACCATAACTATTTCATGCTTTTAGAGGAGCGTGAAACAAGAAATTTTACGAATGGCATTTCGAGCCTCAATGTTTGGCAGAATTACCACGAGGAGAGTGATTTATACATTAAAGTATTGGCCATTGCTCTTCTCTTAGACCTGCTTCTATTTCACCTCGAAAAGCCTCGTCAACTCGCACAGCGCTCATCCATTTGCTAGAATAATCTCGAATCAGACGGCACATATAACCACTAGTGTCCGGCAAAGTTTTGAATATTTCCGTTGAATGAAGGAAAATTGGCAAAGAGAACCTTAGAACCCACTACAGTTCCTTTCATTTTCATTGACGGCAATATGGGATCATTTTTCAGATTCTAAAAGGGAACAAAGTCAGAGGATTCTTGAAACAGATTGAGTATCCAATAATTGACTGACAATCGCATGGTGCATTCAACTTCGAAGGTGTTGTATTCGAGTTTGTGCACATGTGTAGCTCACCTTTAGGACTGGCTTTTTCAACAACTTGTTCCAAAACTCTTGTTATGATTGCTATTCCAACGAGTACTCCAAAGAAAGCTACGTACTTGATGATTCCACGAAACATCTGCAAATGGAACGAAGAAATCAAGTGTTGGCTCGTCGCTGTCTATCTAGAATACATAGCTCAAGAGAGATATTGCCATAGAGGTGCATGGTATATTTCGCGATATTTACTTACAACGAATATCGCTTCATGGATTTAAGGTTATCTGAAGGAAGAATTATTCAAAACGACCATAATCCATGATGTTGTTTGAATTACCTATGCACAAACTTTCACTGCGAATAAATCAAATAGTTCTCATATCTACGGAACAACTCAAGTGGATAAAGACGCTTAACCAATCTGAGGTTTCTAATGAAGACACTATTTAAACTCTTGTTTGCACTGAGCGAGGAACGCGGAAAACTCCAAATCCCCTGTCGCGATTGAAATCCCGCCCATTTCGCAGTCGATTAGTCCATGAAATGAGAACCAGAGAACTCTTTTGGTCAGCCAAGTCATTAGCTGGATAAGTTTTTCCATCTCCTGGTTCAATTAAAACAATTTTAAATGATTTAATATAATAAGTGACGATAAAACCTACGAGCTCTTGAACGAGACTGAAAAGATCTTAATTAACATTTCGCTTTTGGTCCATAAATGGTTTTTCTTGTAAATGTAAAAAAACAAAAACAAAAACAAAGCAAAACAACTTTAAATTCTATTTGGCATTTGTTAATTCACCTCCTATTTTTGATTGGTGGTGTTACTATAACAAAATGGAAAATTCTCTCCGCTACTTACCATAATTAAAAGTCATTAGACAACGATATGATGTTTTCACGATATCTCTGCTCTAATTATTTTACCTCAACGGATATGTAAATTTTGTATTCAATTATTAGTTCATGTTGGCGAATAGCCTATCGTTTTCCTCGGAGTTTTCAGTCATATTTGACGAAGAGGGCGAAATTTTCGTCTTCAGTTAACACGTGCATTTTCTTTCTCTCAATATTCTCGAATTAAAGTTGTATAACAAACAGTTTGCCTGATACTTTGAACCGGTACCCGTATTGCTTTAATTTCTGCTCCAGTAACAGTGGGCAGCGGAATGTTTACATGCATGTACTAGCAAGGACATGATCAAGATATCCAAAGAACAAACGAAATTAGTGGCGAATCGGTAAAACGGTTTTGAAATTACCGTCTCATATCAACCTGAATCAGACCAAGGGAAAAAGTAAGCGAAACTCGGAAGAGTGTAACTTGATAAGCCATCTTATCAAGAGACTTTCAAAAAATGCTCTTACAAAGGCCTATCAATATTCTGATTAATATCTTTCTGTGATAACTAAGCATCTCAACGTGGAAAGGACCTTATCATGGAGAAGCTATTACTTTGCTTTCTCGACCGACCATTCAGTGATTGACGAACAAATCAAAGATCGCTATGATAACGACGAATAGTCACTCATTAGGATCCATATGGTAAAATCTTGAAGAGGCGGCCTGCACATTCTAAAACTGTACTTCACTAAGTAAATTGGTGGTATTTAATGTAAAATGATCCTCCGAGCGGTGTTCAGCAAATTTCCATTGAAATATTTCTTCGTAACGGCGACTCCATAAACGAGGAGAGAGGTTGCTCAAGAACATCCATCTACACATGACATGAAAGCGTTTATCATTGGCTTGCCCCTAGGCTATTTCACTCTAGTCTTTTCTAAGCTTAAAACCCTCTCTAAATTTGAATGGACTGGTCAAAAAAATCACAAACGAAACCGCCTTCCTTTTATTTTAGTTTTTTTTTTTTAGGAGCACGACACTCTCAATGCAAACAAGGCCGTGGACACAGTTCACTACCACTCAAGTATGTCGCTGTGTTCAAGGAGTATGAAAACACTTTACTTGTTTCTAAGGATGAACGTAAAACTGTTGCAACCTTTTTTAGAGTAAAAACGTCGTTTTCAAACCTTTCCGAAGAGGAGTTGATGGGGCTGCTACAGACCTTCAAAATCACCGTTGTTGAAGTGTATAAGCCCTCAAAAAGCTCAAAAAGCGAAGTCTGACGCTTCAAATACACCATGAGATTATGCAAATCAAGTTCCGCTTTGACTCAGTGTGAAAGTTTGGTAAATCTCTCCCGCTCTAGTTGTTTGAGAATACATTCCCAGCAGCATCATAAAGCGAGCAAAGTTTAATAAATCAGTTGCTTTCAGTAGAACCTTTCCAGAATAGAGATGTCGTGATCACGACTTCAACTTTTACTAACCGACCGAAAAAGCAAAGTTCGCCGTTGTTTGTGTTTACGAAGTGAAGCGCGTCGACTCAAGCCGGCTTCGAGAATATAACGCAGAATTAACTCATCCAAGGGCAAAACTACTGCTTAGAAAAATACCTCAGAAAGTCAAGTATTTTGTGCAAGATCTCGCCTCCGCTTTCAAGAGAAGGATGATCGATCTACTTCTTGCCTGTAAATACCGTGTTAGCGAGGACAAGCAGAAAGTGTTTCAATGTTTCTAGAAAGTAAGGCTAGAGTCATCCAAAAGCACCATTCCTGCCGATGTATTTAGATCATTAATAAAGAGAATTCAATCCCGACTTTTATAAGAATTATTGTGTCGCTATGAACTAATATAGCCTTACCTTTCGTCGAATTAAGAACATATCCGAACTGGATAACTTCGTATCCAAACCTTCATTCCGCTTGGCACGGATACAACTCGTGACGATCAACCATCCGTGGTAATATGTAGTGTTTTTCATCAACATTCTACAATGACTCTTATTTTACGCTGCAGGCATTTAATATGAGGTATGATTTTGTTTTTGATTGCGTGACAGTTAAAAGCGGAAAAATATCGGCTTTCAAATAAAACAAAACTTTTCATTAACGGCTCACTAATAAGTCGTCACGAATATGAAGGAAATTCGCAACAAAAACTTGAAAATGGCGTACGATTAAAAAATACAACAGCAGGTGAAAATTTTGACATAATAGAACCGATACAAGAAGATGACCTACCACAGAGACGGTAGAATGATATGCAAAATTGCAGCAGAGAGGAATGAAGGAAAAGTTCTTTGAGAGAAGGGGTTAGTTTCTAGAGAAGTTGTAGTGCTGCGTCGGTACATGTCTAGGGTTAGCTTTTCGCCCCGGCGAATGGCTAAAACTCGAAATGTCAGCCATACAAATTCTCTACTGTGGACAATTTGAATAAAAAACTCAGTCAATAAAGCCATCTAATTTGTATTTCTCTTTTTCAGGGGAGCATTGATAAAATGCAATTAAGTTTTAAAAATAAAAACCAAACTCTCTCACAAAAGAAATAGAAAAAAGTAAAAGAAATATTTTAGAAGTCAGTTTTTTCCACTTAGTTCTAATTGTTTCGTTATACTTCAGTGTTTTAATATTTAATTCTATACTTGCTTTGCGACTTTTGATCAGATGAAGAGATGAGAAATTTGTAAATTCATCGGAGTCGCAGTAGAGCTCAGCGATCAGCCACGACTTCAAATAAGCTGTAGAATTTGTGTGGCCGTTGTTTGTGCTAAAATCTTTTAGCTGATTGCTATTGTTTTAAGATGACTTTTAACTTCTGGAAATTGGGAGAGGAGGATTTTTGACTTATTTGCAGTTGTATGCGGGAAATTTTAAAATACTTTTAGAATTAAACTGTGTAATACCTCGAAAGTAAATTAGGTACTCTGACTGCTTTTATCTTGTTGGGATCGTTAATGAAATGCTCTCCAGGATCGGGGCGTAATAGAGTTCTAACACCACACCACAGACCTAAACAAATATACCTTGAAGCGACTGGCGCACGCATTTTAACTAAATAGATTTGGCAAGACCCACATCATTTTCCTGTTTAGTCTGCGCACTATTGCCTAGAAACAACCACGGATCTGTTTAATATAACAATTGGTTCGCACGTCAGCATGCGTCTAATAGGATTTGGCGCACACGGAAAAATCGGAAAGCGCGAAAGATTAGTTAGAGTTGCTTAAAGCGTATTCAGATCCGCTTTAACGTTCAAATATAACACAAAAACTTATGATCAAAATATGCGCCTCGAGAAACTCTTACGCATCAGTTCTTCTCTTAACTTATATCGCACGAAATATATTAACCAATTATTAAGTGAAAACAGTTCTGGAGTCGCTTTTTTGTAAAAGTCATGTAAAGGTAAAATGACTTGAGAAACACACTCGCGAAATCGTAAAAACAAAGGTGATGTCTCTCACAAAAACTTCGTTCATTGATTATTTGAGTTAAGTTTGTACTTGTTTCAATTGGTGAACAATTCAGTATGGAAAATTAACTACATGCACAAGCACCAGCAGTACCTTAATTACAACTTTGGGATCAACTTGGCGTATCAATCACTGCTTGTGTTTCTGTTTACGCGCAAATGTTTTCTGACAAGTGACGATCTTATCAGGCAGGGCACGATTTGAAAAGTATTATCATTATATTTCGCCTCCCGTCGAAAGAATCGCCCTCGTCTGCGTCTAGCCAAGTAAGAACACTGCAGTTAGATGAGAGAGTTTTGAAATCACAGAAAAACGTGTCGCAGCAAATCGGCTTTCAAGTCGAGAAGACTTCTTCTCAGCAGCCAGCCAGCGATGTTCGCCACAAAAAAGATTTTTTCCATATGTCTCTTTCAAATAAAATAATACACTTCTAAAACGGATTTCAAAGATTTATTACTTTTTGTGTATTTGGCATACTTCTCAAATCGGCGAGCAATGTTGACTTCCTGTAGCCGTAGCAACACTCTACTGAAATGCATCCTGCAATATTGCGATATTGATGCCGTGATACATTTTCCTTAGTTTCTAAATATAATTCGATTTGTGAAGGATTATGTCACAAAAGAGGAGGAAATAAATAGAATTTGTAATCCTTAATGTACTATTTAAACCACCTGGCGAGGATATTACGTCAGACCTAATAATTTTTTCAGTACCTTTAGTCAAACAATATTCAACAGCAGGGAAGACTTATTGCTTAATGAGTAACTAATTATAATGCAATACGATTGTAGTCACACTTCAGAAATTCCAATAATTAATTTGTTTACAAAGGCATTTATAAGCTGCTTTTGGTGAGGAAAAAAGCCAAGAAGGAATTATGCACTTTGCCATTTTAGTAGCTGCTGTAAACGTCTATTCTTACGGCGACCGAGTTGAACATGAAGCTATTGAAAGCTCAGGTCTAGTTGTCATTTTATCATGCTACTGTGCGCAGACTGCAGTTTTAAAGGTAAAATAGCAAGTGCCTACTGCACCAAGAAACATGTTCATAAAAAAGGACAAACAAACACAAATAAAATTATTTTAAGCTTTGCATGTCTATTTTTTCACGGCCGAGACATTCCAGAAAAGAAAAAAAAGAGAAAAGAAAATGATATTGCAGCTCAAAAATTTCGGGTATACATTTAATATACCTTTGGAGCAGATATAGGGCAATGGTGCTATTATTGGCACTTTCGCGAGATGTTTCCTATCCGATCACAAAAACTGAACCAATCCAGATTAAATGGCCTGCTAAAAGTCACGGATAACCTAAACGGACACAAACAATTACGAGTCGGTAATAGGTATGACTGCAAGCCTCATGCACAAAAACAGCGAGTTACAGATTTCAGCTGTTTCATTTTCCTTTGCGTTCGCAAAAACATTGATATTCAATAATTTGTCGAATACCTGGGAAAATAGTTTTTGTCGAATTTTTATATTTGAAAAAATTGTAATCACTGTTGCTCTGACAAACACTACAACATAAAGATTGCTGTTTTAAGGGTGTAGCACTGTCAAGTTTTCTTTCCAAAGTGATTGTTTTTCATTGTTACACATAAATCGATATTAACCATTGTTAGTTCCCATCTCAATCTTATACAAGTAGAACGGCGACTAGCCCTGACGCTGAGTTACAACAGCACATGACAGCAAAGTCACTTACACAAGAAAAAAAGGAGTATTTTTACCCAATCGGACGAAGAATTGCAGTCACGGCGATCACTGAGAATACTATGATTGAATCTAGCAATGGCGAGTGTTTCGCTTGCATCAATTTTGCTTTGATCTCGGTATTATAGTGTAAAGTCAAAAGTCTGCCTTAATGCGGGCAGTTTTCTGCACGTTTGAGAAAGAATATGTTTAACCATTATGATAATTCGATACGCTATCAATCCTACCTTTCGTTGCTGATACGGGATGCCGAGACACAAAATCTTGTGAAGACGCCTTGCACTCGGAGAACTGAACTCAACACCTCAAGTCAAGGCAACAGGATTGTATTTGACCGTTCCCTCGCCACGAAATGATATTGTATTTTGTGATGTTAGGCATGAACTTTGGAACTGTGTTAGGGAGATCTATATTCAAGTCGAGTTCAGGAAATTCCTTCAGAACATTTGCACAATGAACGATCAATGGGAAGGTTAGTCAGAGTTATTGTGTATTGAAGTACCGCTGGCTAACACAGGCGTTCCCGACAATGCAACAAATTTTTCGGCTCACTTCATCAAGATTACAACTTGAAAATATTACGCTTAGACCTTCACTGCGCATGACCACAGACAAAGCACTTGGCGTGCTTGACTTCAAAAGCGATATACTATAATTATATCGGATCATGATCTGATTGGGTAAAAAAGTATTCTTTTTACTGTGTAATTCTCAAAAATGCTCTGAATTAAAAATTACTTCGATCAGGTGTCGCTAAGAAAGTTAGGATTCACTGGAGCGAAACTCCACCGAGCGTTTGTCCCAAGTGAATATATCCCCATGTCCAATATAAGACCCTCAGAAGAGCATTCAACTGACATATATAAAGCTGCTAAATGGAAAGTACTTCAAAGCTATTCTCAAGTGACAAAAATTGCTTGACTTAAAACTCTGAGTCGATGATTGTAAGATAATATTTGTCAGTGGGAAAAAATACAGTTAATTAATTACATTTACTTCGGTTGTTTTCGAAAGAGAAGAGGACTAAGTACCATAAAGATCAAAGGTTAATATTTCTTGCTATTCAGCGCATGACAGATATAACGCCAATGTGATACTCGTTAGTGTTGTTGGAACAAATGCTTGTGATCCTGGCATGAATTCCTAGAGATCTAACAAAGTACTTGAGATAAAACACTTTTCCATTCTATAGTTGAAGAAATATGCAAGATATGTCCTAGGAATGCCTTTTGGTGCTTGTTATATTTAGGAAGGTATTTCAGGGTTTTTCAAAGCTCCAGCTAAGATTTTTACGATTTTATGTAGCAGGGACCAATTTATTTCCACTCCAATGTGCAGTTCCAAGTACGAGAAGTTGCTTTGCACTCCTCGGTCTAACATGGGCATAATTGTGATAAATTTGTTCTTTGTTATATCCGTTAATCATATATATTGTGTGCAAGGATAAGGGTGGCGCCAATACCTTGAGGTTAGTTTAAAATTGGCCTTAACCCGGCCACGAAAACCCAAACTGCTCTCTGAGGAATCAACGATTACGTAAGAGCGAATGCAATAGAAACCGTGGACTCTACTTTTAAAACAGATTTTCGTTAAATTGTCAAAAATAGTTTGTTGATGTTAGCAGTTGTTTTTGTAGATGAAATAAATGAGAGTGAGAAAATATCGAAAGAGATATCGGCTACTTTGAAAAATGGAATTGTAGGAGCGATGCCATGTTGGTTCGAATGTTTTTTCGCGGTTGCCACAATTACTTGCACGATCGCCTTGGGACTCCTGAAACAAAACAACTATCGTTTCACGCGCACGATAACAGTGGCTAGTTTGTACCAGCTTAACACTTTGGGAGGTTCAATATTTAAATTTAGAATATTATCTCATATTGCAGCGTAAGGGTCACAAAGATAAGGGAAAATTATTGGACGTACAAGGTGGGAAGCAGTGAATTTATCCTTGCACTTCTCTTCAAAGAAATTGAACCATTTCTAGGGCAAGGTAATATATATTTGTACATCGTTTTGGGGATAGCGGCTGGGACGACAAAGTGGTGATTCCAGAATGGCATTTGAAGGCGATAATTTTAGTGTCATTATGACATATTTATACTAAAATACTAAACGTTACCTATTATCTTAGCAGCCATGAAAACTTAATTCAGCCATAACCACACATTATGGCGTAGATAACATGACAGCGCCGAGTTTCCACTTCAAATAAATTTCACTCATGTGGGTTGCAGCTGTGAAGTCAAAAGGGTGTTTAGGTTAGTGGTCGGTGAGAGTTACAGAATGTGCAAATCCCCTGATGCTGCAATTGTACCACAGATGTATCTCTTCATCTTTCTGTGATGGAATCCAAATAATTGTCTTCCTTATTATTACTAATACAGGCCAAGCAACAGTCCACAGCTGCTAACTTGATGCTATAACTGACTAAGAATTTTTTTCCTGATTTCCTGAAAGGTGTATGGCCACGCATAACAATGTTGGACTTGAGAGGGCCGCTCGTTAATTTCTTCACTCGAGTAGAGTGAATAGGTTAAGCTCGAGTGAGTGCTTTTATAGTTTCATTTGTATAATTCTCGAGGCGAAGATTTAAGTTGAGTTTACCAAGGGATAAAAAATAAACGAAAAAAGCCACTTCTTTGAAATTTCGGCGTAAATTCGCGGTGACTTCAGCCCTGATAGTTACGACCAATAAGAGAATAAAGACAATTTCGATTTCACAGTAAAAAGATTTGTTTGCGTTCCTAAAAATTTTGCGCGAGCATGCCATGGTTTTTAGTCTTTCTTCGGATACTAGCGGGTCCCAAGAGAAATTGAAAACAATGCGTATGCAAGCTTTCAAAGGCAAACGAAGGCTAGTATGCACAATTCAAAAACGCTGAAGTGCAATTGTGATGTGACAAAAAGTGATACCAGGAGAGGACCTGAAATATGGAGTCATTTATTTGGATAAAAAACGTTGCATTCACTGGCTTGAACAGGTAACGTAAGAAGAGAAAAGTTAACATAATTCCTTTCCCAGCGGTTCCCACTCCTGGCTGAGGTTATCAAAGAGTTAAGTGGCTTTCGTACAGCTTATATTGGCCAACTTAAAACTAGCGTTCCGTGGCAGTGAAGCATTCTTGGTCTGGATAACCGTTCCTATTTGAAACATCATGGCTAACCTTATTCGTTACCGAATAAATGTCCATGTAGTTGTTTTAGTCTTCGTATCGGTAAAAAGTGATCCAGCTGTCGTCGTTAAAGTCGAACGCATTACTATTTTTATAATTTAAAATTAGGCTCGTTATCAACCACAATCATTATTTACTCGCATCATTTATGCTGTCCAACTGCAAAGTAGTAATAGAAAAGACAACTAATGCATACTAGAGCGTTCGTATTGTCAAAATGAATAAGTCAGTTACAGGAAAAACAAAGATAAACGACACATTATGATATGGGTTGTACTGACCATAAATTTATTATTAGACATTGCAAATACGTTCAATGTTGCTGACTGGGCAACATTGAACTTAAGTTTTATGAGTATTGAATTTGACTGAGTTTGTACTCGATTGTAAGTAAAAGTTTTCACTGATTATCTGTGATACCAGCGAGTGCTAGAAGTACAATAAGAGAGGATCTCAAGTGACTCTTTGTTGTGCGTGCCAAAATAGGTAACACTTGTACAAGAGTTTACAATTGCGTTCTTATTGAGGTAAAATGCCATCGAGTACCAGAAAAACACTCGGAGCGAATGTCAAGTGACTTCCTGTCTAGTAAGCCTAAATAGATTTGAGAAGAGATAAAAGTTGTTTCCGCTTTGACATTTGTAAATGATGAGGTATGAAGAAAGAATGTACAGGTTTAAAAGGACCCTCAATCGTTCTATGAAATTATTCTAAGAGTGAATGTCGAAATCCTATGAGACTCCATGATAACCAATCTAAAAAGTACGAAAGAACTTTGCTCGAGGTAAGGGCTTTGAGGTCATGTTATAGAAGAGCTTAAAATGTGAAAGAAGTTATAGATAAAGCGATTTATCCCATCAGAAACTCATTAGCTCAACCACTCATCCCTCGCTCAACTCTTTCACTAACAGTTCAAAGTAACCAAACGATGTGTTTGTTGCTTCCAATTCTCCCCAATAAGGAGAGATCAATACAGTTTATTCTAGGTAGATCATATCTCACCATAAAACTCTCAAAGTAAATCTGTACTTTTGAGAACGGATAGATAAAAATCAAGTACGCAGAATATTTCCAATTTGTGTCCCATGGCACACCACATCGTTAGAAAAGTCAAATCAAAGTGGACACGCCTTATTTAGAGGTTCTCGGCCATATAAAATGAGCGGTCAATCCTCTGATTATCATAATGAAACCTTTATTGATCTGCGCTCGTTATACTTTTCAAAATGGTGTTGCGTCTTTAAAGGAAAAAATTGTTCATCTTCAGTCAATACAGTACAATATACCATGACACTGCTATATTAACGTCACTCGAGAGACCATGAAGTGAGCTCACTTTATCCTCTAATGCGTCACTACAATACGTTTTGAAGCTATGTATGCGAGAATTCAGCGGTAGATCTTACTATCCATTTCCGTGTTGCATCCAGAGGGCATGTATAAACTAGTCTTAACTTCCTTTCATTTTTCGAAAAGGCCCGCGCAAGGTTCCTTAGACTGCTGGAGAAGTGTGGTTTCTATTCTCCCTTCGTTTGTGAAGGCTCAAAACAGAACGCCTGGGATATTTCAGGCATATTGAGGGAGAAAGAGTTTTTTTGCCTCAAACATGGAACACTGGCCATTAAGTCCTATTTTTCTGAATAAGACTCATTCCATGAAATGGGCTGTCAAATCCGAGCCGAGTTCAGGATAAACAATTTAAAAAAACTGTATAAGAACAGACTGTGTTTTAGCTAATTGATCAGTACCCAGTTGTTTAAAGGATGGATAATACTATCCAACGGATAAATCGCCATCCAGCGGACGAGTGTTAACAAAACAAACTGCACTATTCACTGAAAAGTGGATAAAAGTGGATAGGGATTTATCCAGTGGAGAGCACAATCCACTTGTAAGACCGAGGCCAAGGAAATGTTAAGGTGTGAGTAGCGTTTTTTTACAGGTAGTGGAAGACTAAATATGAAAAATTTTCTGTAATTACGAGAGGATCAACACTAGGTCAAAATGTCGATTGAACTTTTTCAGCAATAAGCTTGAGGCTCCCAGATGAATTCATTTGAAATTTTTAAGACTTAAGTCTGTCACTTTCTAACAATAATTGCGATTTCTATAAGTGGCTATCCTTTTCGTACAAGGTTTTTGAAACTTTTTAATTGTGCGTCGTTATTTTAATGAATGGGTACCAGTAGTTCATTATCACCAGTTACTTGTCTCTCGGAAACGAGTCCTGTTTTGAGAAAGACCGAAGGTTTTCACTACGTGAGCTAACGAGAGCCGCTGCCTAAGAAATAAAGTATTAAACCGTGAAGAAAAAAATGATTTCCGTCTACGTGACTACACCGACATTTCAATGACAATTCTTGAACATTTCTACGTTCCACATGGACGAAGAGGATTCCAGGCAAGTTCGTCCTTTCCTTTATCGTTCAAAATGTTCTGCCAAATGGGGAGGTTAGAAAGCTTTTCCTCAATGCATGCTTGAAAGTATACGCAGCGACATCCGGTCTCCTTTCATTTGAATCATGTGCCGAGTTTTGAAGCTCTTGAAACCATACAGTTACACTGGAAGCAATGCGAAGCGCTACGCACAAGAATGGTACCCGTTTGAGCAAACGACTTGTGACCAGTAACACTGACAGGTGGTCCTTTAAGAGCGAGAATTGCTTCGAGAAACAAAGACTATCCATGCTGTTTGCATTTGATAGGCGCAGGAATAGACTATTTCTTTACTTCGAAAAGCCATAATAACGGCAAGATTTTGTAAACGAGAGAAAGACGTTCATCAGACTGCGAAAAGGTGAGATCCTCTGTGGCGATACAAAAATATTGTTGCACGTTCTAACAAAACATTTTGCAAAACCTTGAATACATTGGTAGTGCGCTAGTAGCGTTTCAAAGATCATCATTCCAGTACAACCACATCTTCGATTTATCTATTAAGGAAATGTTTTTATTATACTTTAGGATAAGTTGGAGTCTGCTCCATTTTTGTCGATAAATTAAGGCCTGAGAGCGAGTCTTTAAGAGCTTCAGACAGGTGCGCTATGTACCATTTCACCGATTTCAGAGAAACTTTGCAAGCGTAAAGGATCTACCTCAAAACTTAAAGAGATCACCTGCTTTCTTTCCAAAGATAATTAGAATCGTTTGTCTCACGATGTGGTTACTGCAGATGTGGATCGCGACGTTTCGACTGCGTACTACATATTCAGGCCATCCTGTTTTGCCGGGTTGCACTAACAAGGAATCATGTAGATCTCGCGATCTTTTTAGTCATCCACTTTGTCAAGTGCTTTTAAGAGCGTATAAAACGTCCTGAAACGAAACCCTTTTTTAGTTCCATGGGGAGGAAATATCTGTCATCTGCCGTTGACCCGGTTAACAGGATAGCGTTGTCCACAGGATTCCGAGTGAATGCGGCAAAGTCTGCATCGGCGAGACTGGCAGATCTGTGCAGGGGAGAATCAAAAAACTTAAATAGGTGACGAGTGCTCAGTCGACCTCATCGCCTGAAGAAGATTAGCAGTATGCAATCGCAACGTCGGGATCCGCATCTGCACTGACCACATCGTGAGACAAGGGATTATAATTCTCTTCTGGAAGTGTTATTTACCACGATAACAAACCACAACTTACCTTTCGATATGAACTACTTTCTGTTTCGGTTTTGTTTTTCGGAGGTGTGACCGCAGTCCTCCCCCAATGGGTTTACTAGACTTTCACTATGAAAATCGCCTCAAAGACAGGCAAAATGCACGATTGCCATCTTAAGCTACAATAGTTTGCAAACATAATGGTGCACCCTTAATAAACGAAATAGAGAAGTGAAGGTCGATTTGATTGACCTCTAAACATAAGTGACCGCCTTTCTAAAACTTTTCATTCATTCTAACACATATGGTAATTTTAGTCAAATATCTCTGCTTGCTTGGAAGTTACAAAAGGAATTTTTAATGTCGAAATCGTTCATCCTTTCATCTCTGAAAACCTTTTAAAACAGTGGGGTACTGATATTTTTTGCCGCAAATGCCACTTGAAAACTACTTCACTAATTACAAGCTTCTTTCGGTCACTAAAACAAAGAAAGGTTCATTTTCTTTCTCTTCCTTCTAGGTGAATGATCAATAAGGATTTGGAATGTTAAAGACTTTGGAGATTTTGGACTCGCAGTTCTTTTTGCCTTGATTTTTGTTATTTTAAAGACCTTAAATTTTCAGTTGGCTTTTGTACGGCTTCAAGCTTTCAAAATCTTCCGGCCACCTAATCATAACTACCATCAATTGATCGTACACTTCGCCATTCCCTCAGGTTATTTTAAACTTGCAAGTTCACAAGCAAGTTCCAGTGTGCAGCATCCTCAGCGTATGAGAGAAACTCCGTCCCTCAATATTGTCAGCTCAAATCAATTAATCGTAGTTTGCACTACTTTTCCAGAAAATCAGACCAGACTAACGATGTTGTTGGCACTTAACACAATCGAAGATTTCCACGAAGCACTAGTGTTTGTAGCGTGACCTGATGACCTTTCATAGGAACTATTCCAACACATTGTTCATCCTCTCTGCAGTGCAACAATTTGTTGAGATTCCGAAGATGTATATCTATAATTCATTCTGACCGACTTATACCTGCATTTTCTTAAATGCACGTTTTAACTAGATCTGTATCTCTCTCGATGGAAAGTTTTCGTCGTTTAACGATGTTTTGCGTGGCAAAATATCTTCTCTGTTGCTTAACAGCTAAACTTCCCGTCTAACTTTTGGAATATATATATATATATATATATATATATATATATATATATATATATATATATATATATATATATATATATATATATAAATGGGGGTAGAGTCTACCTTGGCATAAAGTGCTCAATGCTGTGGTAGCAGAGCTGAGTTTATATTAGTTAAAGAATCATAGAGGACACATCGATTCTCTGTGACTCTGAGTTTGGCGCCTAAGCGCTTGTCAGATAGAATTTTCTGTCTGAAGAACAGTTCTGTCTGACGAGCGCTTAGGCGCGAAACTCAGAGTCACAAAGAATCGATGTGTCCTCTTTGATTCTTTAACTTATATATATAATCAGAAAAAGGCTATGGCACATCCCAATTTTTATGATGAAAGGACTTCTTGTCACCCAATTCTGTCAGTAATCATACTCGTGATAAACAAATCGGACTCCCGCTTCGCGGTCGACCGATTTTGTCTATCACTCCTAGGCGTTGGTTATAAGTGTTCGTGAAAGAAACAACAGTTAACTTGGGGAAATGCACGACAACAGCGTACGTTCATGACGCGTACTGTCCACTTACACAGGCATGACGTATCAACCGTCCTATTACACTGCCCAATTACAAGCATGACGCGTGCACTGTCCTATTAGCGCTCAGAACGGGCTGGTGATAACCAATCACGTTCGAGAATTTTGTTATGGTTTTAATTACTAAGAGCCATACAGACCGTGGATGACTAACATGGGAAACAAAGGGTGAAAACGAAAGATTTGTTGTCGCACCAACGAAGTTTGAAATTATGGATGTCTTTCAGGTTAACGTGTTATGTCTTGATGCCTCTTGATGCTATGAAGCTTGTCAACACGAGTACCCTGTGCACTGCGAAATGAACCGGATACGATGTACGAAGTTTCTTTTACTTGTCGTCTTGGTGAGCCTGTTCGCGTATCTCATGCTTAAAGACGAGTCCGTTTGTATCACTGTAAACAGTGTTCATAATGCAATGACTGCGAGAGAAATTGCTGCCTTGTTACAAGGAGGTCAGTATTTACACCATTCCAAGTTTGAGAATAACAATCTCCTTCCTTTTTTCGTTTTCTTTTTTTTTTAACTCGATATCCTGTCAATATCGGTAAGTAATCTAAAATGAACGAAAAATTGGATGAAGAGACTCGAGTTTGTTCTGGATGTAGAGAGTGCCACTCATTTATAGTTGGGAGAACAAACTTCATCTATGTGGTTCTCGAAGGAGTTGTGACGCTTACAGCTTACAAATTTTGCGACTTTTATGCCCAAAGGTTTTGATTTAGGGCCGTTTTATGGCTACCGGTTAACCCTTTAACTCTCAAGATCTCAGTAATTTTCCTTACTGTCTGCCATACAGTTCTTATGATGTTTGTTTGGAGAATTTGATATTGGATCAACTAATATTCCCCATATTGATATTCCTCTTTATTCTCATCACTTTTCTGCATGATATTGTTTTGATATTGTAAGGAGAAATTCTGTCTTGGTCATTCATGGGAGTTAAAAGGTTAAGAATTTTAACGGTTGAAGGTTAGATTTTTCCGTTTTTCCACACTCAGCTTTTAATTTCTTAGCCTTTTTACGGCCAGCGGTTAACCTCCATTGAATCCCTCCTGTAATGAACATGTTTGAGATTTAAAAGAAAGAACTAAAAAGCTTTTTCTTCCATGTACCTAGGTGAGAAAACGGAGAAGCCCTGGACAGAAGGAAAAGGGGGAAAAGTGTCAAGCAGGGTAAAAGATAATAAAGAAGTAAAAGCAGTGGAGGGGAAACAACAATCACTTCTTGAGAACTTGATAAAAGCGAGAAAAACGGAGGAAGAATTGAAAAAGAATATTATCCGGCTAACCACCGAGCTTCGCAGCGTTCATAAATTCAGAGGTGGAAGTGAACTGAACAGGCTTAAGAGAGCCGATGAATTAAATCTTCCTACAGTTTTTGTTATTACTCCTACGTTCAAACGTTTCGTACAGAAAGCTGAGCTTACTCGAGTCTATCAAGCTCTGAAGCCTGTCAAAAACCTTCATTGGATTGTGGTCGAAGACGCTGTTAATAAAACTGACTTAGTTGCGAATTTTCTGAGGACTTCGGGTTTGAAGTACACTCATCTAAATGTAAGAACTCCTGACATTTTACGCCGCCATCGGAATGAAATGCGACGAATGAAACCCCGTGGTGTGGTACAGAGGAATCTGGGTATTCAGTGGCTACGCAAAAACATTGATCCTCACAGAACGTCTGGAGTAATTTATTTTGCAGACGATGACAATACATATGATAGTAAAATCTTTGACGAGGTATGGAATTCTGATGCAGAATTTTTACTCCGCGAGTTTCTTTTCTTTGTGGAATTTGTGTGGGGAAATTAGATCAATCTGACATCGGTAGTTGAAAGAGGGGAAATTGGCAGGATAATCTCATACCAATGTTGGGTATTAGTCTATTCCTTAATCCTTTACATCCTAACATCAGTATGCAAACTCTCCATATTATACTCTATACATTTCCCAAGGCGCTGACAAGGAGAATTTGTTCAACAGTCAAGCGCCTCTTTCACTGGTGATCATAGCCTTTATTCTCGTAACCTAAATGTGTGATTCGGGGATGATATTGTAAAGAGAAATTAGGAGCTTAGGGGTTAAAGGGTTAGGCAACTTAAATTTATCGGATACTCTCAAAAGATAGTTCACCAAAATGAATTCATGACATTTTTTTTTAAGATGCGTTGGATACAAGGAGTCGGTGTTTGGCCAGTGGCATTTACAGGTGCAGCGCGTTGGGCAGGTCCCTTATGTAAGAATGGTAAGGTTGTCGGTTTTCATGCAAAGTGGGGTCGGTTTCGTCCGTTTCCTATCGATATGGCTGCATTCGCGGTGAATCTAAGAAAGCTGTTGATTGACTTCCCAAACGCCAAGTTTGTAGCAGTAGAGAAGCCTGGAATGTTAGAATCATCATTATTGAGCCAAATAACTAAAGTGGAACAACTGGAACCGGTTACTCCAAACTGTAGCAAGGTAAGGATAGTATAATGGGTGCCTTTGTATGGGACGACGATCACTTTGTAGTTTATGAATTTCAAGTTAAGAGTCGTCTGTTGACGGCAAATTTAGTACAAAGATTGGAATTACTCAGATTAAAATCTCCTTTTGGGCCATTGCTGTTCTGATGCAGAATAGGGCTTCGCTATTCAATTATTCTAAGATATCTAGGCTTTAATTCTATGAAACTCCTGCTAACAGCAAGGAAGAAAAGAGCGTATGTAATGAGGATTCCTGAAGAATTGCAATAGCAATGGCCATTCCACATTGCTCTTACGGGCAGGCAAGGATAGTCAGATATTTCATGTTCTTCCCGTATCTTTGAATACAAACTGATCATTACATCATTACATCATTTGCAATCTCTTATCAGGTTTATGTGTGGCATACAAGAACAGAAACACCAAGAGACAGCATTTTAGGAGAAAAACAGTTGATAAAAAAAGGAATGCCATCCGATAAAAGCATCGAAACGTAACCATGGCCATCCGAGTCACTTCCCGATGCAATTAAGTTCTTCAGTTATGCCATATCACATTCAATTCTTATCTCATGAAAAATATTTAACTCGATAAGAATGAGACAACATTTCAATTTGGAACAGAATTTCTCTCAAATATTTTCTAGGCTATGCGCAATTACATCTCTAATAGCGCAGATAGAGGAAATATGAAATCCCTGTCCCACATCAGAACGATGTGTACGCTGTTATTTCAAATAAAAACCTTTGTTCCTACAGGGATTCTTGAAAGAGCACTTGAAGATCAAGTTTCACAAGAAAAGTTATCTCAGATCTGGCAACAACAACAATAACTCCAACTAAATTTTGATTTGAGTTACTAGGAAATAGCGATCGGTGTCCTAATGAAGTGGTTTCGCTCGGATATTTTCTCCATTACGTTACAAGACCACCATGGTAAAACTTAATGATTAATCTAGGAAAAGATATCTGCAACTGAATCTTCCTATGATCTCATTCATCTCCATCAAGGATCCTTAAAGGTAAGGGAGTATGCACCAATTTTCCTTTTTTATAGGGAAATGATAGAGTTATGGTCTCCAAAATTGGAAATTGCCAAACATGTGGCTTTTTTTTAATTGTTTGTAGAATCACCAATATTTAAAGGACGTATTTCAAGTATTGTAAGCCTGAGAAAACCCAAGATGAAATAGATGAGAAGTTGTATTTTCCTGAGAGATCGGAATGCAATTGGTTCAGTCCAAATTTCTATACGGTTTACTAGCTCATCTAACTTTTGACTAATGAATTCCAAATCCTCATGAGGGAGTTCCTTCTTGATTTGAGGTATTCCTCTATCATAGGTTCTTCGTTCATTTGAGCTAGGTCGGCGGCATCTTTTCCATCTTTCGTAGTCAAATTGACATCGGCTTTTAGCTCCACAAGCTTTGTAACAGTCTGCATCTTGCCAAGTATTGCTGCCGTCTGCAGTGGAGTGAAGCCATCTCCATCTCGAGCATTTATCTCTCCGCCATACTTAACCAAAAGCTCAATGACTTCAAGGTTTCCATTTTCAATTTCACACGCAATGTGGAGGGGTGTCTTACCTATAGGATCTTTCCGAAATTCACTCGACTTGTTCAAATTTTTTGTTATTTCGGCTTCTGAAGGAGGCTCCCCCAACCCTGATCGAATAATAGTACCAAAGTTATTTACATCTAGTTTACCTCCATGAGTTCGTTTCAGAAACAAACCCAAAAGAGATCTCTCAACCATAATATAATACCAGGCTGGTCTTCCTTTCTCATTGCCCCGAACAAGAAATAGCCTCTCATTTGCATTACTTTCATCGCGCATGTTCGCATCGGCATTGTTTTCCAACAAAAGCCTCACGAGGTGTCTATGTCCATTTTGAACTGCCAGACGGAGTGGCGTCTTACCACTTTTGGTCTTCAAGGTAACATTGCACCCAGAGCGTACAAGGAGATTAGAGATATGAAAAAATCCTTTCATCACTGCAACATGCAGTGCGGCATGACCCGTGCTACAACTCACGTCTGCATTCATCTGTTGCATGGAGAGATGGTAGACGGCCATGTAATTGTTCCAATGTGTCGCCATCATCAACGGCGTGCATTGGTCTTCTCTTTGAAACGCTGTGTCAGCGCCGAGGTCGATGAGTGTTTTGATATATAGACTGGAAGATCGTAAACTGGCCCAAAGAAGAGGCGTGCGATTTCCTTCAGCCTCGGTGTTCACATAGATACCGTCTTTTAAAACGAGTTCGACCGCTTTTTCAACATCGCCATCGTCAGCACATTTGTGGAGCTCTGTAATTGTGGCCATGCACCCCTTCTGGTCTAAATATATCTGCCTAATTTGGGCGTGGCCTTCTTTGTTTAAGTCAGAAACAATATCTAAAGCAGTTTTTCCAGGAAATGACCTGGCGCTAGTTAGAGTCCTTACCATAGCCATTTGCTCCAGGAAGTTATCAATGTACACACTGGCAGCTACAACTGTGGGATAATTTCCTTCATACACGGCAGCATGTAGCATATTAAACCCAGAGCTCTGATCAATCGCCAAGAAAGCCCTCTTCGAAAGTGAAGCAAGACTAAGCTGCAATAAATTAAATCAAAAATCAATGTCAGTGGTTTTGGCCAAAGAATCACCGTAAAAATTGAACGACAGCTAGTCTTTCCTGTACTCATTTCATCTTCTTATTACTTATCGCGTCGTTTGTTCCATGATTTACACAGGCCCTTTAAACATATATGATTTTGTTAAGAAGAAAGTACCGAACTGGCGTGTCGTGCGATCAGCACGCGCGCGCTGAGACATTTGAATTTGACCAGTTCGTACGATTTCTCGCGTGGCTTTTTTTCAGTTTTAGTCGCATTTTGGGGGTTTTTGTTGTTGAGTTTGTATCTTAAGTCGTTACCGTTTTACTGTCTTTTTACCGATTAAACGTGCCTGCTTTTAAAGGAGATTTTCGTTATCGCTTCCGAACAGATTTAATCACTTACATCAGATAAATCCAAGACTATAAAAAATCGTGGCAGACGTAGTTAAAAGATCAGCAAATACTAGTGTAATACCTTTTTTTTCTACCTCTGTCAATTAAAAGGCAGAAAATATTTATCATTTCGGGGCTACCAATGTCTCTTTTTAATTGAAAAATCGGCACTAAATCTCCTGTTGCTTTTCCGAAACTGAGACAAAACGATAATGCAAAAAAAAGAAGACATTTTCCTTAACAAGGATTTATCTACGATATGAAAGTCGAATGAGAAGCATAGGAAAAGGGAAAAAAAGGGATTTTTTCGACCCTGCCTGATCAGTAAGATTATCGAATAAAGCCACGATAATTTATCTCTGTTATATTAGTCTTGTTTGTTACTGATCAACAAGATTACAATATCTTAAAAAACTCATTAATAATTCATAAGCCCATTAACCTATCAAATGGTAGATAATACATCACGTGCAGTGACTTTAAATCGATAAACCTCATCCTTATTAGTATGCGGTGTTTTATCAGATATAAAGACACTGCACGTGACTTATGAATATTAATTAATTATCAACACAGAAACTGACACAACAAATGGTGGGAACATATTTAACTTTGTCACTGCACGTGTTGACTTTGGGATAGCATTCTCGATTAAATTCCTCTCTTCCTCGGCATTTTTAGGCTTCCGAAAAGCTCTGGAACAGGACGCCATGTCCTCTTCGGTTAGTAGAAGAAAAGTAAAAAACACGTGTGAGATTTGATTTTCTTGCATACTAATTTAATCCCTAATGTTTTTCTCGTATGCTAATTTCTAACGTTCACAAAAGCATAATTGTTATGAACTCTCTTGACACACGCTTTTCCAAGAATGTTTTTGAAGCCGTTCAAAAAACTCGCAGCACGTGTTTTATCGGGTCAAAAACCACTCGGCTACGCTTCGTGGTTTTAAACCCGATAAAACACTCCTGCTCGTTTTTTAAACATTACATAAGATTATCATATCGTACCGGCTGTTGATAACTTTGAGATGCACCATACTTGAGGAGCAGCTTCATTATGGAGCAGTGATTATGACGCTCAGCCTTTTGAAGAGATGTTTTCTGAAACTTGATGAGAAGCAAGGGAATTCTATGCGTGCTATGTTCTCGTTCGCATACTGCTTGGATCAATTATGCTTAAATTACTATCAATCAAGCCAAGAAATTGTGGATGTTACTAAATCCATTAAAATAAAGATATAGTATACCAAAAGCATCGCATGATAATATCAATCCTCAAGTGCTTTTTGTGCATGAAAACATAAAACAAATTCGCCTACACTGTCCACAGCATTTACATCTGCACCATGCTGTAACAACAATTCGACAACACGCTCGTGTCCATACCATGAAGCAAGGTGAAGGGGCGTCAACAAAAACTGTAAAAGAAGGGACATTGAGCTTTTTGAAATGAGAACATATAATTGCTGACTCAAAGAATGCATTTAAATAAATTGTGAAGTAATACTCATAAGCAACTTGAACCAAAAGAAATAACAACAAAAGCTACCTTGTCTCTTTGGTCAACATCCTGCCTATCCTCCAGTAGTCTCTTCACTAAGTGCCAATCCCCATTAATTGATGCTCGATGTAGCGAAGATCTCCGAGCCTAGCAACAAAATCGAACCATTTAATCAGTGATGAGGGACGAAGAATATCTCACTGAACTGGAGTTTATTTCATTATTTTTCGTGATTTATAGTCCTGTGATTATGTTGTAGTGTTCTGCTGACATACCCCAACCAAAATTAACAACAACCACATTCCATCATTTACAAGCGTTTGCCTATTATTATAACATTAGCATTTTAGTACCTCCTTAGCATTTTAGAGGACCTCCTTGAAATCCACGTAATGTGACGGGAACTTCCTCTTTAAAGATTATTATTATTATTATTAATATTATTATCATCATTATTATTATTATTATTATTATTACTATTATAGATTGAAAGTATGCCCTATTTGCCGTGATTCGCCATGTTTCTTTGTTTTTTGTTTTAGTTTATTTCGCTTTTTCCCTCCAATCATATCTATTAAACTGCACCTTCGCCATCGATTTTGAATTGCGTATGTCTTAGCAATATTTTGCTCTGGTTTTCTATAAAGTTGATTGTTTGTTGTGTCTGATTTACCTTTACTTTATTTAACTTTTTGACTGTGTCTTAACACTTTTTGTCTTTGTGTCCGCCCCCAAATCGATTATAAATCGGGAATTTTGGTGACTGAATCATCTATCAATTCACTCTGAATTCAGATAGTAAAAAGAACTCACCTCGACACCTTTCGCTCCTGTTTGCAGTTGTAATCCTTCACTGACTGTTGAACCAGCTTCTGTACATAGCGGGCGAATGCTACGGTTATGGCTTATAACAAAAGAATCTTCTTGTTCGCCTGCTAGAGAGCTTGATTTTAACCCTGTAACCGGTTCGTCTGGGCTTTGTTCTACGTCAGGTGATGTCTGTGGAAAAGGTCCAAGTCTTGGCAGGTGAGACTTGTAGAAGAGACCGCCAGAGGCAGCAGTTATACACTTCAAATCCACCTTTACCGCAACAAATCAACAGATTAGACGAACATAAGTATCGTTTCATCAGTAAAACAGATATACACTTCAAATCGACCTTTACAGCAACAATAAAAAAAATCAGTCGAATATAAGTTGCGGTAAAACAAAAGCGAATGGTTCTTACTTCATACTAAGTACTCGGATCAGCAGCGGGTTGCACTTGTTTTAAGAAAGCCCCTCTCCCTAACCCTCGCCCCCTTCCCCACTACCAACGAGTACCATCAATGTTTAAGTACAAGAAAGGTAGTAGCCATAGAGGTTCACATTACATTGTAGGAGGGGGGGGGGAGGGTGAGGGGATGCATTGTGCGTACCTTTACAAGAGTAATCCAAGTTTTTTTAGAAAGATTTTAACCCACCTTTCCATCAGGACCCAGTCGATAGTTGCCTTTTGTACCAATTTCCCATAAAACGTGAACTGCAATGGCATTGCTCCCACGCCAACATGTTATATTTGTCACTGTTCCAGAGGAGTTTCCATCCGTGTCACCATATTCCCAATCAGGACCCCTTACAACTTGTGCGCCTGGGAAGATACCTCTTGCACAGATTCCCTCTGTGTTAATTCTTCTGTACACACAAACCCTGGGTATTTTACGGGTTAAACAAAAAAACCTTAAACAAATCACTTTAATACATGAGGAGTTGAACCACCGAGGAAAACGAGCGAGTCTGATGGCAAGAGTTTGGTTGGGCTGATAGGAAATGATTGAAAACATACCGAGAACATAACAACAGAAAAACAAAAGAAAATTATATTAAGGGATTAATTGATGGTTATCAGTTCTTAATAATTAAAAATTTCGGTGAGAGAGATTAAGAATTTTTTTAAGGGATAATTTAACCTTTTGTCCTGTATTCATTTATTCTATTTAACCTAGAGATAAGACAAAGCATAGTTTCTCTGAATGAAAGAACTGATCACCAAGGCTATCATGCGTAACTATATCTAAGTACTTTGGTTAGATGTAGTTTACCGAAGCAAGCTAACAATACCAAAAGTTGAACTCTTATGAAAACAAACACATGGAATGCAAGCACAGGTTAAACTTGATTACAAAAACACTAGACTGGTAAATTCGCTTTCCGATTGTCTGACAAATAATCAACTGATATAAAAATTTCCTCTCTGAACTGTTATCGTCGGCATCATTAAAGAATTTAGTTAAAGTCAATTCTGCCCTCACTTGTCGTCATTCTCCTGTTACAAATCACTGAAAAATACTTAAAGTTAAAACTTGCAAAATGTTTCGATACATTTAAGAAGAGTCTCCCAAAGACAGTCTTTGTTTAACTCGTCACGCAACACAGTCTCTTACCGGCGCTTGAGGTGATGACATGTATAAGAGGAATATTTTCGCTTGAGATACAAACGGGGTTAAAGTTAAATTTAAAATCGAAAAGTAAACTTCAGAGTTATTTTTATGCTTGCAACGACAAAAATCGATACTTTTCGTTAATCCAGTCTGAATAAATAAAATGATTGTTATTCCTACCCCTTGTCATCGGCGGAATTATATCTCCAGAAGGCATGAGCTGTACTGTGTTCATCGGCCATGTAACAAGCTGAACATAGGTCCACCGAAGTACCTTCGCAATCCAGGCAGTTCCAACGGATCCCGAGAATTGGGTCTTGATTGCACGTACGGCAGATGACACCTTCGTGTTTTATTCCTTGAAGGTTGAGAGAAAGATTACAAGAATTAATATTCCGTCTTCTCAAAAGATTTATGTTTGTCGACACCAAAACATTGTTCGGCCGCTAATTGGTGTATTTTGAAGTCAGATATTCAAACAAATCACTTACTAAAATGAACTGGAAAGAAGATCTATATCATGACGTAAAAATGAAAGACGATTTTTGTGATATCAAACTGAAATTCACTATGATTTCCGCCGGCGCAATTGTCATGCAATTGTATTTTTACATACTCAAAGCGAAAGTATATCATGGAACTTATTGCGACTAATCAAAGCTTCCTTGGATCATTATTTGATCCGAGTCATGTTTCTTAATGCGTTTTTAAACCATGAAAAGAAGTGTAATGCCACACATAACATGATGTAGCAAAGCAACCCACTTACCCAAAGAAGACATATGAAAAATACAAAGATCGTAGACACCATTACGGGTTGCATTGTAAACACAGCGAGTTCCATCGTCCCACTGTACCGATGCCATCTTCTTAGATGTATCAGCAGCATTCTTGACAAAGTCGACAACTGTGCCTAAACCACCGTCTGGGATGCTGGCACCATCGCCCTCATCTGATTTCCAGTCGTGTAGAGGAACAACTCGCAAACCAATGCCGAATGTGTTGGTTGCTGAATTATTGTTGAATTCTGATTTTTCTTCACTATTACAATTGTGTGCTGTCTCATTTTGCGGAAACTGGTCTCCCTCCACGTAAGATACTTTGTTTAAAGACCACGGCATCTGTCTGTGCAGCTAAGAAAACCAATTTGCTATAATTGTAGTTGGAAGCAAGGAGATGAGGCAAGGCTCTACATTGTGATCGCGACCGCTGACTTGGCTAAGGAAGCATACAAATGGCTACCGTCACGCTACCATCACGCCATCAAGCAACGCGGCATGCGATATTTACGATGTTTTACCTGAACGTTCGGACGTGGTGTGCGACATGGAGATCGTGTGACACGAGTTAAGTAGAAACTGCATTGCACTGACTTCATCATACCTGACTGTTGAGGTCAGAGTAAAAAAAAATAATAAGAAGAGAGAAAGAGAGAAAGAAGACAACTCTCGCCAGGACCTAGAAGCAATCTGATCTCGCACTCTGACTCACGAGCTTGTCAAGAGCATCTTCCAATTCCAAGTGCTTATCTGATCAAAGACGATTCCACCACAGAAGCTGTAAAATTCAATTTCCAGATAAATTTCGGGAACACTCAATTTACAATTTATAATAAAATATTTACAATTAAATATTGGGGCTCATGCTGTTTGAGGTCGTTTGTCAGTTTGCCTGTTTTTCAAACGAAATTTTTCCGGTTTTTTTCCCGCATTTTTAATGTTTGCGTTCTTTTAGCCATTTGTATATCTAAAACATTAAGGTATCGAAAATCAACTCTTCTTTGGCACTTTTTGGCATTTCAAGCCTCAAATGGGTCCAAGCTCAAATCCAGTGTATAGAAAATGTACTTCCCCTTTCTAGGGATGCATACAACTAATGACCGCTACACTTTCCATAGGTGACTGTGCACATTTTTGAGTATTTCACTCATAGTCCATTCACGGTACGAAGGTGGAGTTGGAGCAGTTGTAACCGCTGGCCATTTGTGGAGGCATTCCGGCCGGTTTGACGGTGAATCCGTATGTCTAAGATTTCGAATGTCGCTCGTATGTCACTCGACGTACTTGCGTGATGTTAAAAGTGTGAACCTGTTTTTTTCAGATCGGAGGTTAAAACGGTCGTTAGCCCTGCGCGTATCGGGTGAATTCGAATATGACGTCATTGTCTGATAGAGATCCTCTTACTTTTCTAATTCAATCTAGTTTTCTTGGTAATTGTAGCATTTTTAGGTTTGCATTTGTTAGGTCATTTCTGTCTCAACACGAAGCTATTCAAAGTCAGCTCATTTTTGAGGGCAACTTCTCACCTGGCTTAGGATTGTGCAAGGTCAAAGAGGGACTTTCCCGTTGCTAGGGGCGTAACTAACCAGTGCACAATGTCTCATGTTTCACTCGCCATTTCCGATATTTTATTAAATCCTCGAAGGAACTGGCGTGTAAAGGTGCCTTCGTAATTCGTGGATATCTGTTTAAGCATCTCAGCCACTTGTTTGCAGCTTCAAGTTTATCAGGATATTTCTCACTTTAAGTTGAGTGTTAAGGTAGGCTTAAAAGCTTTTTAATTCCTAAGCTAACCAGTAAATTCAATACAACTTAAACAGAGGTTTATCTAACGTACTCTTGGACTGAGACGAAAAAATTCGAACACTACCATTCGCGTAAGGCGCATCTCTTAGTTAATTATCACCATTTTTAGTTCATTCTCGAGTCATCCTTGAAATCACGACAATAACTGATGCTAAATACGCGCAAACGAAATAGCACGATTTAGACTTCCGTCCAAATCATCTCGTTATTGCAGTTGGTTTCTTTAAAACACGCTCTAATTGGGTCAATAATAATTTTTAAGACATTATCGTCTCTTCGGAACATTTTTGTACGAATGAATATCTGTCAAGAGGTGCAAAAAAAAAAAAAAAAGGAAATAAAAGAAAAACTTCAAATTACGGTAAGCTTCAGCGAGAAATGAATCTAACAAGCAGTACATCGCAATTGCTTGCTCGCAAAGAATTCAAATTACGAGACACGCGATTTGAGATGAACGGCAGAGTACGCATCCTTTGGCTTCATGTTATGATCGTTCTAATCGAGTAACCAGGTAAAGACGAAACTAAGATCCAAAAGTTGTCTATTTGGAACGGAAACTATGCGCTTGGTGGTGACAATACGCCGCGGTTTAAAATAAAATGCACAGAGGACTCGATCTTTTGAATATTGTCCTCCAATCTCTCCACATATTGAACCCACAATGGAAAATTGGAAAAATTGGGAGCCAATGAGCACAGTTAGAAAATTGGAAGCCAATGAGCACAAACTGAAGAAGCAAGGCTCAGTTACCAAGAAACGAAAATTTGTGGTAGTTTCTTGTTTACTTAGTGAAAGTAAATATCAGTTACGATTTCGTTTTGGATTTAAGATTTGTTAATAGTTTTCACTCATTCAATTTGAAATTGCTGTGCATTTTAGCTACGCAAAACTTCATCGTTACAAATGAGTGCCGCCTTAAATTTCAGTGTGTGTCGGTTAATTTTACAACGACTAAGCTATCGGGGTTGGCACCTGACTGATTTGGAAAGCAGGAAGGTTGTTCAAATCCATTTCGTTAAGCGTTGTACTTTTAGAGATAACTGAACATAAAAGTTCAATGTCAGTCACTGAGAATGCAACGGTATTGAAATTATTTTTATTTTAAAAGCTCCAGGAACCTCTCATTTGTTTGTGCCTAGTTTGCTGCAATGTATGTTAAATGTGGCTTATTTGTATGATTGAAATCATGATGTGCTCACGACATGTGCCTTCAAGCGTGAAATGGATTAGACAATCACGCTATTTTACTTCATATCACTCGAGTAAACACTGCAGCAATTAAACGTCTTCAAAGCGTGAAAATATAATCAGGAGCTCCTCTGTTCAATATTTAATGTTAAAATGAAGAATTGTTGCCGATCTACTCTTACACAATACGGTGTTGCACAACTGTATTTGCTCGAGTCGGTAGCTTCAAAGGCAGGGGTCGCACTAGTGCTTTTGGTGTTTACATTGGACATAGAATCTGTCATAGCATGTTTGCGACAAGTGCGACCCTTTTGTCGCGCCCAGACATAACTATGTCCGAAGGACCTAAAGATCAAACAAGTCGATGTCCTGCCTCAAAGCAGGTCATATCTTGTCTAATGGCCTTAAAATAACAATTTTTTATTTTTCTTCTGTCGTCGACGTCAATCAAATCTGAAATACGGGCAGAAATTGGAGTTTTGCAATTCTGCAAAAGGCAACACGTGTGCACTGCTAGCTACAGCTATCGGGTTAAAATTTTAGTCACCGGTTTTCTCTTCAATGCGTACAAACCAATAAGGTTTTGTACATGGAACAAATTAAACAGAGATTGAAGAAATGTCGCTAATAAAACTAGCACCAGCCTCATGTCTAAAAATTATATTTGGCGCTCTTTTCGCGCGTGAAATATAAAGAGTTGACAGACTGGTTTCAAATATCATTTATGTCGCGCAAGTGCGACCTCCATGACTCCCGTGGTGTAAATGTCGCGACATATTTATGGGACAACTTATGACGCGACATAAGAAAAATAAGGCCACAGTGCGACCCCTGCCAAATTCTCCAGAGCAGCTACGTGAGTTCAAAGTTAAGACTCCGGAAAGATATAAAATTATTTGGAGTGTTTCCGGAACTAGAAGAAGTCCTCAGTGGCTCAAACATACACTCGTAATCGTCACAAAGACTGAATTAAATAGAGCACCAAGGGGGTAAATGATAATAAGAGTGGGAAATCTTGATGAAATAGAAGCTAACCGGGCTTTTCCCTCAAGCAAAAAGTTATCGATCATTTCCTCGTGCGATCAGAGGGCTTCGTTTCACTCAAGTTCCTCACGCTATACCGTTACAACTCTGACATGAGCTGTTTTTACTTTAGTTTTGTTTTGTTTTTGTCACACTCTAATCATTTTATTCACTGGAGCAGCGTCCCGGAGGGAATTACACGCTAAAAAGCAGTGTTACGTGTTTTGAGAACAATTAAAATCATTGTGAGGCTGTATGTCTTAGTCAAACAATAACCGCTCTTAGGCAACGGAAGAGTTGCCATTCAATAAAAGATAGAATAGATCCATATCTATTTGTCGTGAATTGATTATGTCGTTTGCTTCGTGTGACGATGTGTTGTAGGAGTCAATGGATCGTAAGATGTATGAACCTGAAAGCACAACTTCTTTTTATGGTCTCGTTTATTAAACTTCATTTTCACCACCTTGGCCAAGCTCCCTCTTTTATTTGTAATCTGAGTGTGATATGAGTAACTTGACCCTTAAAGTTTAATGCAATCATGATTCCATCCTCTTTGTTGTAAACTTCGAGACGTAATTTCTTGATTTCTTTTATTGATTCGTACTTACTACCACATCTAATTCGTATCGTAAACCTAAAACCTTGTTACTTCACATAAACACTCGTCTTCGCTTCGAAAAGGTACTAATCAAAGTCTATTATGTACATGTGATTATATTACTTGGCTCACGTGTCCGTCAATCAGCAAAATCACTTCTGCACTGTACAAACAAAACAATATATCTCGTTACGTTGATCGTTCTCGCGTGGGACGTCTCGCGTGGGACGTCTCAATGTTTCTTACACTCTTTGTGTTACTGAATGTGAGGTTGCAACTGTGGAATAATAATAATTTAATCGTTGTGATCAAGTGGTGACTTATCCCTCAGTTTTTATTTATTTTCAGTGATGGAAACTTTCTGCCTACATTTCTTTAGTTTAAAAGCCACAGCACCTCTGTTACTAATATGCATTTTTTAAAATTATGTGTATTTTGCAGATCATATCCAGAACTTAGTACATTGAGCAGAAAAATTTGTTACTATGGATGCCCTTAAAGTTTGATGCAATCATGATTCCATCCTCTTTGTGCTACTAAATGTGGGGCTGCAACTGAGAATAATGATAATTTAATCATTCTGGCAACTGTCCTCAAGCATTGACTTATCCCTCAATTTTTATTTGTTTCCAAATGATGGAAACTTTCTGCCTAAATTTCTTTAGTTAAAACCCACGGTACTTTTGTTACTAATATGCTTTTTTTTTAATTATGTATACTTTGCAGATCATAGCCAGAGTTCCTTGAGCAGAAAAAATTTGTTACTATGGATGTCCACGGTAACGACAAAAGATGGCTTGTGACTCTGGTTACTTCAAATAAGGTCGTAGCTCCAGTTTTACAGGATGTCGTGAAACAAGGAATGGACAAGCTGTATGCTACCCTAGATAATTACCTTAATGGCTTACCCACACCTTGCAGCCTACAAACACTGACCTATGCAGATGTATGCCATCTGGCAGCCACTCCAAGTCCTGCTTCTTCGCTTAAAGACCTAAATTTCGGAAATATTAACAACAACTCTGGTGTTCATGGAAAGACCAAAACGGCTTATAACCACAATGTAAACAGCCTAGTTGATCTTGCCAAGCTTTATCTTCCATACTACCTTGCAGAATTCTCGGCATTCGACAAATCTATGGATTTGAATGCCGCTCTTAGACTATTGGGATGTAGGAAGTATCCCGTACAAGTATTCGTGTCTTCCGATCCCTTGCACGATATTCAGCCGTTGGCAGATGATGTCAGAGATAATGTTAGGAATCGGGGAAGTCATTTTAAAGAGAGTGACTGGACCCAAATCTTCTTTGACCAGTGCTTTGACAAGTTAAAGGCTCTGCTCCAATATCTGCCCCTGCTTCCCGCCAAAAAGAAGGAGCTTTTAGATCAACTCTCTGCATGGAAAACAGAAGGTACTCGAGTGGAATTTAACCATTCAACGAATAGGTTGTTAATATGGCAATTCTCCAGGTCGGATGTTAACTCAAGAGAAATGGAAATACGCTTAAAGAGAGCAGAGACGGGCTTTTCAGGGATCACAGGGCATTCCTTTCAGAGATTGGAAAATATAAAATAGTTTTGGTTGCATTTTCAATTTCTACGTCTAAACGAAGTTTCGAGAACATTAACCGCTTAGGAACCAAACTCAGGTTTGACTACTCTCCATTTACAGGGATTAAGCCCACTGTATAATCTGTGGCAGGGCATATTCCTGGCTTCCATTCATGGCCCTTTCAATATGTTTGTGATCATTTATCATCTATTAATCTCGTCAAATCAAACTAGACCGCTTTCGATTGCGATGATGTTTTCATTCTCTCGGCAACTCACGCGAATTTCCGCTTCAGGGGTTTTCCCTGTGCCAACCTGGTCGTTGCAATTAAGTAAGCGGAACAGCAAACTCAGAGGAGCCCGCTTCAGTAATATAAAGTAGGAACTGTTTTATTTATCACTCAAATGCCGTATCTACAGTGACAAATCATTTCCTCTCACCAGTTACTTAGCTTAATCTCTGCGTTATATCAATACAGTCATCATCATTATCATCATCGACATCAGAATTGACATTGTTATTATTATTATTATCGTTATTATTATTATCATTATTATTAATATCATCATTATTATTGCTATTATCATTATTACCACCATTTATTGTACAGTCATCATTTTTAGGTTTCAAGCGGATTGTTGACAATGACGTCAAAGATCTACTGGAAAAATTTCAAAACGTCAAATTTGCTTCAATTAATGACAAATTGGACGACATGCCAACTAGGGAGGAGAACGAAAGAGTGATAGAAAAGCTGTCTTCCTTTCACACCAGTATGATGGATAGATTTGATAGAATGGAATCCTTACTTCGAAAATTTGGTCACAAGCTAGACGGTAAGTTTAAAAACAACTTGTAAAATTCCAGTGAAAAATAATGTTGCAAGACTCGTCTGGTCGCCAACAATTTCACCCACAGATGTGCGTAAATTTCCCATTAACACTCGCGAGCGAGTTGAGGACTACGTGGTTAGATACAGATAGATAAGTTGTCATTATTATGTTGCAAAATTGTGCAGTTTTGCTGATTGGACACGCCAGTACTGTCAAAACGCACGTGATTAAGATTCCTAATCATTCTGTAATTTAAGGGTTTCTAACATAATTCCCATGTCGCACCTTTAACTGCGAACAAAAAAAAACAAACATAGAAATTCACCGACCGTACCTCGGTTATTTCAAGAAACACATGCCTTTTTTTTATTTTATTAACCCGATTGCATTTGTTAAACTATGCAGGCATCAGCGTCAGTGCTATAAATCAGGAAGGTAGCAAGAGTGTTCACTCTTCAGAATCAAGCGTCTTGTCTACAGACGCCACTTCTAAAGAAACCCGCCAAATGAGTGAAAAGGTAACATAATCTGATGACGGATAGTTTCCAGTCAAAGGCTCAGATTTAGACAAAAATATAATTTATTTACTGGGGTTGATATGAAATTGTGTGGTTGTCGGGTTTGCCAGGCCTAAAACTCGTGTAGATGAAAAATCAGCATTGTGTTAGCTACGATGTACACTAACACGAGGATAGAAATCATGTTTTAAATTACCCGAGAGAATCAAAACAAGAGGACAATTAGATAGACGAAGAGTTATAGAAAGGTTTTCGAAACGACAGTGCCCATTTCCTTCAACAGTCCTTCTCTGCGGAAAAACTACACTATCAAATATCACTCTTGGGCTCAAACCATTACTGGAGAAAAGTTAACTTGCTATACAACTTTTATTCGAGTGGAGGACCCACACGGAAAGCAGGACTTAGAGTAGTACACTATACCTGTAACGTACAAATGTTTTCTTAATGCCTTGTTGCATCTCTAATTTTAGGCAAACAATCCGGACTCGAAATGCAAGCTTAGAGCTGAGAATGCCAAGGTAAGTCCAATACTTTTAAAATTTTAATATTATGTGTGTGATTACATTATTTTGTGCAACTTTTATATGACATTTATTAAATTGCGCTCAGGAGTCCCATAAATGGCAGGTTGCTTTCAAGCATCTGAAAGGACCTTCCTGAGCCTTAAAATTAGACAAAGGAGTCTGTCTGTCTGTCTTTCTAATAAAATGCTACAAAGTTTTAGTGAATGAATTCGGGTTTTTAAACTACTTTTAAACGGGATTGAGGGTTGTCCAATACACACGAATAGATTCTATCGGAAAATATGTTTTTTATCGGAAAACCGGAAGTCTATTGGTGAAAATGGACATATACTACCGGGAGTGGGAATGATTCAATTCACCGGAAGTCAGTAAATTGATGACATGTATTCCTCTATCGGTACCCATTGGATTCCGATGGACGGGGATAGAATCCTCTGGATTCCATCGGAGTGATCGATTTTCTGATGATGAGAGAAAATCGTATTTAGGTTTTACGGTAGGCCCTAAAATTGCATTCCATCAGAGTCCGATGAAGTGTTTCCATCAGAATGATAGATAGGCCTCGAAAATGCTTTCCATCGGTGTCCGATGGAATCGGACGGACACGAATAGAATCTAGTGGAATAAGCGATTTTCTGATTGTGTGAGACTTAAAACGACGCGTATTTCACGTATACTGCATTTGTCTGTGTTAAGTGCCGTTTCGTTTCAAAGGCACGAAAAACAAGGTATCTTTCAAGTCATCCGCGCTTAAAATGAGCTGTATCGCTCAATGGCTTTAAGAACAAGGCATATTTCACATACACCGTACTTGTCTGAGTTTCGGCTTACCCCAAGACTTCCAGTTATTCCGATGGACACGAATTGACTCCCACTGGATTCTGATGTACTCAATCGGATTCCAACCGACAAATGGATTCCGATGGAGTTCATGAAACAATATTTCTGTTCTCCTTGATGTTCATTTTACTTCCGGTACTCTTTCGCGTCATGAATTCCTGTTATATTACTCCTGTTGGAAGGTGTGACAGATAGAATTTGCTTAGGCTATGTATGACGGGACTGATTTTTTAAAAGGGTATAGCCGGATGGAGAAAAACAGGAAAGTTCCCTTTCCGATTTTTCCGTTTAAGACTTAAACCCTTTTCACATTTTTAGAATATTCTTCCTTCTCATTAAGAGGGAAGCTGTAATGTTGGGATACATTTTTGCGGCTCGATGTTTTCCTTTAATTAAGTCTGATCTTGATTCAGCCATTTAAACAAGTATAGTGGAAAAATGCCACAATGCGTTATAATATGTAGATTTAGAAATGTTCTTATTATTTTTGTTCGTATTTTGGTTGATTTACATCGTGCTTGCTCCCAGCATAAGGTGCACTCGCTACCACCTCAAATCCTTGACATCTGACTCATACTCTGCACGTTTGTATTTGTGCTACGTTTAAAAAAGCCCACTGAAATTTTAATGTATTTCCGCGCACGTTTTCTTACAGTTATCAAGAGGGGCACTACACAAAGCTGCCATCAACGGTCGATGTAACGTCATCAAAGCACTTCTTGAAAGTGGTGAATTAGTCGACCAAACAGATAAGGTTGTTTGCTTTATCTTCCGGTTTTTCCTGTTTAGTTTCTGGTGTCTGTGTTCTTTCTATTTTGATAGTTTTGGTAGATCGGTAAAAACTTTAAGTCAATGCTTTGCTTCTATTTTGCAGTTTGGTTTGACGCCCCTTCACCTTGCCGCATGGTATGGTCAGGGAGCTGTTGTAAAACTCCTGTTACAGCACGGTGCAAATGTAAATGCTGTAGATAGGGTAAGTTGCTGGCCTTTCGTGTTTATGTATTTGACAATATGTCGAAAATACTAGTATCAATTATCAGGCACGCGGTTTAATTTTCCAGAGAGTCGCATACACGTTTCGAAAATTATCCTCAGTCATATTTTTGAATGCTCGTCTTCCAGAGTGGTTTGTAGTAACTGTCTTGTTTTGACCGAGGTGAACTTTTTATCTTTCAGTTTCATAAAACGCCTTTACAGAAGGCTTATCGCAACAATCACCGATACGTAGCTGCGCTGCTCCTGAGAAATAATGCGACTTCCAGTTACAACCAACCGGTACGGTGATAAAGTAAACTACGTCCAAGAATGGTAACCCCACCGAGTGGGAACAGGTTGAGGCATTTAGATAAAGCAATGCGCGTAGTGTGGTCTGTCTCCAGGCCTTTAACTTCCCAGCTCGCTTAACAGGTGTTATTTGATCCTTCTGTTTCCCCGTTGTGTTCATTTGTCTCGGGTTAACCCTTTGACTCCCACAAGCGATTAACATGTCACTTCTCTTGATAATATCAATGTATTATCCACCAAACGGGTAATGGGAAATCTCAAACTTATCAGGAAGTTGTTAACTTGATCGAACACCAAATTCTCGTTACTAATTTACGAAATGTAGTACTTGTTGATAACGTGAAGTGGCCACCCTAAAGAGTTTAAAAGCTGACGTTTTGAGCGTTGTTTCATCACTCTGACGAAGGGCGAACTCATTTGATAACACTAAATTGCCCTGTTACACTCTCCCACCTACGCAGCATCACAGTTTCTTTAGAAACTTACCCCTTTTACTATAATTTACCAGGAAATATGTAGCAGGTAGAGGGGAGAATTAACAATCAGATCTTGGGAGTTAAAGGGTTTAGGTTTAGCTATTTCCAATGAATGCTTTGGTAGGTAGTTATAAACTCTCTCTGTTTTTTCCCACTCATTTGGCTCATCTTGGTTGCTTTCGTTTTGTCTTGTCATTTCATTTATCACGAATATGCGCTACGAATTTAAATTTGAAATATTCTTAGGAATTATGGGACCCAGATAGAATACAGTCTTTTTGCCTCGATTGCCAACGGGCCTGATACAACATTACTATGTTCTGTTCTTAAACAACAACCTTCAAGTTATGGACTAGATCTTAGTTTGAAATCGGTAGGGAACTTGTCGCAATAAATCATAGTTATATCAGTGTACAGACAGAAACATTTAGATGATCTAGTTACTTGAATCAATTTTTATTTTGAAATAATTTCATTCATTTGTAATAGACGTTTTTCAATTAGCACTTTCATTTGTTTCCTTAATTTACAGTACATAATTTTTTTTTCAGCCTAGCCTCAGATCCCTTTCAAGGAAAGCTATCCTCCATGAAGATGCACGATCCGGCTTCAATCAACTGCAGGCGACTGTATTTCAAGGAGACTATGACACGCTTTGGAGTTTTCATCCCTATCTTGCGAATCTTTTGCAAGATATGAACTCACAAAAAACAGGAAGCCAAGCAAAGGCATTTCCTGGAAAAACTGCGTCAGAGATTCTCTTGGCTCTCCAAGATAAAGGAGAGGGATATGTTAATATAGGAGAACTGTACAAAGGCCATGTTGAGAAGATCGATACATTAACTGAGCTGCACTTGTGTAGAGACAACAATGACGCAGAGAAGGCTGTCGAGCTTGTTCTAAACGAGAAGGTGGATATAAACATTCCAGGAAAAAGCAACCGTACACCATTGTTGTGGGCATGT